TCACTCACCGGGTCCAGAATGAGGACAAGAGCCTATGATTTTGTCAAGCATTCCAGTCAATTCTGCTGGTCACTACTCAGAAGACATGAACAAGGTGGCACAGGCACAAGCCAGGGCAGGGCAGGCTGCGCTGTGGGTTGGCGGCGGCTAGCGTTGACCAAGGCATTTGCTTGGTTAATAAGTGGCTGCATGCACCCTACTTCTTTGAAACATGCACCTGTGTTTGCTGGACAGACCACTGTTCATAGTTGGGGACACTGTCCACTCTTCACACATTGGCGGCCAGAGTTGTGAGCATGCTTTCCCAGATGGTCCACTGTCCTGATCTCCTCCACTCTTCCCAGCAGCCATCAGCCACTCAGGATGACCAGGACTACATCGTTTTACAAAATCCACTTCCCGACATCTCCAGCCCAGGTCCTCTGACAACATCCAATCCCTTTTCAGTTAATGGAAAAACCCTGAGCTTTGGCAGGCTCCAAAGCACAGATCAGTTACATAATGACAAACAAACAGCCTTCCAGGTTAGAAGCTCTGCTGTGACACAGAGGGCAAGTCCAGGGACTGCCTGTGACCCCTGGCACTGGTCCCCCTCCGACAGCCACAGAGAAGGGAGGATGGCTGGCACCAGCAGAAAGACTTGAGAGATGTGAACATTGGGCCCTTAGCTGATCCCTCAACTCCCCATCTTCTGGCTTGGACTTGGCTAAAGTGACGCCATCGGAACTGTAAGACTCTGAAGAGTGTCCTGCAGGCACAAGGCCCTCCAATTCCAGGAGACTGGGCCTCGAGTGTCACAAGCTGTGGTAGCTGTTTTCATTCTTGACACAGGAGGGAAATTGTTATTTTACTTGCTATGCCTCTATTTCTGCAGACATAATTCAAACCCGAAGTTCCCACCTTGAGGCAAAGGTATATTTGTCATTCTAATTTACCCAGGCTGGCTTCTGTAGAATTTAGAAATAACTGGTAAATATTTAGCCCATAATTAGTTTGGACAGAATTTTGAGTCAACAAAAACTGAAAACGGCCAGGCACAGTGGCTCACACCTGTAATCCCACTACTTTGAGAGGCCAAAGTGGGGGGATCTCTTGGTTTCAGGAGTTCGAGACCAGCCTGGACAACATAGTGAAATCTCATATCTACCAAATACTAAAAGTAGCTGGGCATGGTGGTGTATGCCTGTAATCCCAGCTCCTCAGGAGGCTGAGGTGGGAGGATCACTTGAGCCCAAAATGTTGAGGTTACATGGGTGTTGAACAACGAGAACACATGGACACAGGGAGGGGAACATCACACACTGGGGCCTGTTGGGGGCTGGGGGACTAGGGGACGGCTAGCAGGGGGCACAGGGTGGGGGGATTGGAGAGGGATAACATTAGGAGAAATACCTGATGTAGATGGGGGGAGGGGATGGATGCAGCAAACCACCAAGACACGTGTATACCTACGTAACAAACCTGCACGTTCTGCGCATGTACCCCGGAACTTAAAGTATAATTAAAGAAAAAAAGTTGAGGTTGCAGTGAGCTGTGATCATGCCACAGCACTTCAACCTGGGTGCCAGAGTAAGGCCCTGTCTTGAAACAAAACAAAACAAAACATACACACAAAAAACCTGAAAACAGTTCTCAGATCCTGCAGCTTTGCTCATGAATTGGGTCCTACAATCTGGACTTGTGTGTGACAATTGATTCATTAAGCTTTAGAAGAAAGAAGTGTTTAGTGACCTATTTACAGGTAGGGAAACTGAGGCCCAGGAAACCGACCTGCTACTCAGTACGTTAGTCATGGAGCTAACTTGAAACTCCTGTCTCCTGCTCCCAAAATCTGAACTTCCCACCCACCAAGCCATCTCTCTTTCAGCCCTAACATAGTGCACAAAGACCCAGGCCTTCTTCTCCCCTGGACATGACCCAAAGGCAAAGCCCAGGCTGCACAGAGTTCTGACCACCAGCTTCCCTTCCAGGAATGCTCTGAGCATGGTCTTCAGGTTCTTACTCCATGCAAGAGGCAGCAAAGGAAGATTGCAGCTAGGACCGCAGCTAGGAGAAGCCTGCCAGCTACACGGTCCAAGAACCAACATGGGAAATGAATGGCAGAGACATCTACTCCATTCGAACAAAGAGCGGATCTCAAGAGGTTCCTCACAGTCACCCCCGCTCCTGCAGTCTCAGGGGAATGAGCTGCCTGGGGCCGCTCAGGCCTGTCCTTGAAGTGTGTGGCTTCATTGGGTCCCCTGTGCAAGAGATGTCAATCATTGTCTGTCCCTTAGTAAAGGAAGCTGTGTGCCCTCAGCCCTTCAGACAGAGAAAGAGGGAGAGAGAAGGGAAGGAGAGAGGGAGAGAAGGAAGGAAGGGAGGGAGGAAGGAAGAAAGGAAGGGAAAGAAGGAAGGAGGGAGGAAAGAAGGAAGAGGGAGAGGGAGGAAGGTAGGATGGGCAGGAGGGAGGGAGACTGTTCGGCGGGTCTAACCAAATTTTCCTCTTGTCCCAGGTCCTAGAAGGCCTGGATAAACTGCAGGTTTCTACCTTTGGACTTTTCTGAGAATCCTCTATCTTTTTTAAAAATTGTTTTTCTTGGCATCTTTCTTGCAGAAAGAGAACCGTGCTCTCTTCAGATTAACTCCACCTTCTCCCAACTAACTCACACCAGGCTCCCATTGCTTGCAAAGTAAGAACAGAGAAATGAATTCAGAGAGTCAGTCTGTCTCAATTTCAGATGGAAGGAAGAATAGTGTGGCAGCAGATAACATTTAGAGAGAGGGGCTCAAGGAGACAACAAAGCCTGACCCATCCAGAAGCACTGACCATGGCAATCTTCCTTACCGTCTTCAAATAAAAATAGAATTTCTATCTCCAAATAGAAATAGGCGTGTACACGCCCTGCCAGGTGAGCCGAGAGGAGAGAATCAGCAAAGAACCTCAAAGCGCCAGGGGGCAGGGGAGGAGGCTGATGAGCTGGGGCGGAGGACAGGGCATCGGTGTCATGAAAAGTTCTTAGAGCAGGGATGTGAGGCGGTAGGGATTGAGAGAGATAGGAGGAAAAGAGCCCCGTAGAGGGAAGTAAAGAGAAGTGGTCTGAAAGGATAATGGAAGAATTGGAGTTTGCCCTGCACGATTTTTTGCACTTCCCTGACTGAGGGGCAGTCATTGCAGGCTGGAAAACCACCCCTCAGAAGAACATAACTGCATGCTCCACAGTTTCATGGCTGAAGATACTATCCTTAATGCACAGTGTGGAAAAGGGGGCATTCATCTCAGCATTGACCATGACAACCCTCCCTAGCATAAAATAGGAAGAATGATATAACCATCACCGGCCAGCTTTCTCGTTTTCGTCTTGGCTGTCGAGAACATTCAGGTGTAACATTCATGCTTGGTTATGGTCATTCTTTCGTTCTGGGTCACTGTATGTGTGTCTTTTCTCCCTCTAAAGGGTTTGCCTTTCCTTTCTCTATTTGCCTTAAACCGTGGCTTCATATGTGCTTCTAAAGCTTGACCAGTTTCCTAGTCCCTCAGTAAGCAGGCTGGATTGCATTGGAAGCGGTTAATTATTTTGCTCTATGTCACAGAAATACTCTTCTCATTGACCCCAAGTGCGGCTCCTGTAGAAGGGTTTTTTGGATTTGAAAATTTGGTGATGCAGCTGCCTATGTAGGCTCAAGGCCAAGGACACAGGTCCTACCACCCTCACCCTGCTGGTCCCAACGCCCTTCACATGTCCCCACCCCTGCCCGGAGAGTCCCACAGATGCAGCACACCTGGGGAGAAGGTGTGCCTGGCATTCACTCCCTCGGCTCCAACCCACGTGTCTCTGTGTAATTTTTTGATGCACCCATTTGACAAATATTCATCAAGCACTTACCAACCATAAGGCAGTTTTCCTGGTAGTTCAGATATGAAGAGAAGTAAAATAGAAAACTAAGATGAACTAAAACTTTTCACTGAGTTAAAGTGGCCCTTAGCCTAGTCATGAAATATTTTCCATCTCATTGTGTGAATGGCATACAGCGGGCACTGGAATCCTTTCCCTTCTCTTAGTTTGCTGCACGGGCTCTATGTCATTTCAGATCCATCCACCCTGAGATAGCTGAAAAGCAGCCATGGTCACGCATGCAGTGGGCCTCGATGGCATCAGGAGCCTGCCCCAAAGGTGGACTGAATTTGCCGGCCAGCTGGGCCACGTAATTTAACCCACAGGCTATGAAGCTCGCCTTTGGGATGATTTTCCTCTTGTCTGTACTGATGATGGTCCCACTGACCTATAATGAGGTGAGGATGTTACAGGGAAGGGAGGGGCTGCTGGGCGGGTGGGGAGACTGGGGTAGGGGTTGGGGCTGAGACTCATGAGATCTGCGGAGAAGGGCATACCCTGCGTGACACTTCGCCTCCTTACACGCAGCTGACACACCTCAATATCGAGTCAGCCTCCTAAAATGATGCAAGAGGAAAGGCTGTCCTTTGGCCTCAAGGTCACCCTAGTGACTAAAGGGAGACCACCGGCCACATGGGCAGAGTGAGAGGATTCCTAGGACTCACATCTGTTGCCCTTGCGGGAGGTTGCCACGTCTTATAGCCAGGTAGTGAGAAGTTGTCTGGCGCAGCTCGCGAACAACTAGAAACGATGCCTGTGTCCCAGAGAGGTCTGGGGTCGCCACGGAAGGAGTTTACGTGTCCAGTAGTGGCAACTCTTGGAGAAAAGGAAGGAGATCTCTCGGTGGCTGGGATCTGTGGCCTACTCTGACCCAAGTGTAGCCCCAGTGGATCCTTCCAGTGGGCTTCAGTGTCTTCAACATGAAATAAGAGAGTCAGATGTGGTCCTTTCCATGGTAGACTCTGACCCAGTACTGTGCTCCTAGTGGAGAGGGTCCCCTTTGCCATGGGCTGAACCAGAACCCTTGTGCCCCACAGCCAGCCTCTTCTCCCGTCCTCACCACACACTCAAATATATCCCCTTCGTTTTCCTCCCATCCACATGAAGGAAGGACTCGACACAGGGGAGAGGAAAACCAGCACTGAATTCTCTTCTAAAGCAGCAGAGAGTTCAACAGGGAACCAAGGAGGGGGTTGAGGAGCACCCCTCTTCAGGCGGGGAACTCACAGACGGCCAGGAAGGAGGACGTGCAGGAGATGTCATTCCAGAGCCCATCTGTCTGGAGAATCACGCAGTCCTCCCCCGAGCCATGGTCATTTGGCTCATCCTTCTTCCAGTTGCTGTAGGTCAGTTTCCCGCCTGTCACATACATGAACTGGCCTTCAGTTACCTCATCCGTGATGCCCAGGAAGGCAACGCCTTTGGCCACATCCTGGATGGCCTTATTCTCCTCGGCATTCTTGGGGGCAGCCACTGTGGCCCTGAGCCCAGCACACAGAGCCTTCACTTTGGCAAAAGGCATCTGCTCGCCGTTGGTCACGAAGAGCTTCTTCCCAGATGCTTTCCGCAAGGAGAAGGCTTGCACTGGAATCACAAAGGGTGGGTGAGGCTGACTGGGTTTGGAGCCCAGCCCAGGACAGTAGGCGAGTAGTCCGAGATCCCTGGGAAATCAGACCTCTGAAAAATCGCCCTGTGCCCAAGCAGCTCAGGACAGAGCCTGGCCAGGAAGCAGGGGTCAGCTGCAGAGCCTGGGAAGGGGCGTCCCGGCCCTTGCAGACAGCCCACACTCCCCTGGGATATCCCTCCTTGAAAAAGCATCTTCTAAAATCTGCCCCAGCACAGGTGCACATAGGGAGACAGTCTTGGGCCTCACTGCAGCCTTGGGCACCAGGATAAGGAGGAGGCGGGGACAGACATCTGAGCACAGTAGAGGCCAAGGAAGGAGCTCAGACTTCAGAGAAGACAGACCTCCATCCAACCCTTCCTCTGCGACTTCCGGGCTGAGTGACGTCAAATGAGTCACCAACACTTGCTGCACCTCGGTTTCCTCACTTGTCAATAAAGCAACCTTAACAACCACAACTGAGGTTGCTGAGAGGATTGAATGAAACCCTCTTACGGGAAAATGCCACCCACGACAGGCCCTGGTGTCGGACAAGTGCTCAGAAGTTAGTTCTCCTCCCACCTCCTCCAAACCCAGAGTGCTCTAAACAGAGTGAGAGCCAAGAACACATTATGGGCAGAGACAAAGCTCACACTTCTTCACGTGGTCCAGTTCTGATCTCAGGCTCTGTATCTGTCTTTCTAAGTTGGCCAGCTTAGCCTCAGCAACTGCAAAGCAATAGGGAGAAGGTACTTATGGAGAAGACCTTAAGTTGGAGAGTGGAGCATTCTGAAAAAAACAAAGTGCCTTACTAAGAAGAATGCTTCTTCCAGAAAAATAAGAAAGCAAAAGAAAAAAAGGGCGGGGAAATGACCGTATTCCTGCTTCTCAGCTATATCTCAGCATCCTTCACAACCTGGAACTTCAACCCTTGACCCCTATCTCCACATAAGACTTTCATAGTGTCGTATTGTGAAAATTCATAAGAAAACACTCAACTCATTACTCTTCTTTTTGAAAATTTTTCTTTGTCATTCATTTTCATTTCTCATTCCAGATACATTTTTTAAATACCTTTATTATTTTGACAGTGGTAGACAAATACGAGTAAGTGAGCTGTCATTGTTCTTTTGTTCTTACTGAATTTGCTCTATTTTACTCTGAACTAAGTTGCTGTGATGTTCTTCAGCACCCAGGGGTCCTAAAAGGCCGACCACTTGCCTGCCATTTTTGTGACAATGGACGTAAATCCAATCCCCTAAAGGGCCTGTTTCCTCCCTGGCACCCCGGAGAGGCGCACACTGGACTGTTTCTGCTCAAGAAAACCCAGGGCCCATCTGCTAAAGGGCCTGACGAGGGAATGGCCCTACACAGCTTGAATGTCTGCACCTGCACACCTATGGGAATCCCCTCAGGCCCCAAGTAAAGCCGAGAGGGCCAAGGGCCAGGAAGCAGAGTTGCGCATCTCCCCATGAGGCAGCAGGAGAAGGGGATGTCCCAGCTAGCCCTCTAGCTCCCCAGGCCCTGGGGCCCCAGGCCGCCCATGCTGAGTTGTGCCCATTACCCGAATTGTCTCCGCGATCTCCTTTTTGGCCCTTTGGCCCTGAAATTCCAGGAGGCCCTGCGTTTCCTGGGGGCCCCAACTTCCCAGGAGGGCCCTGCAAACCTCTGAGCCCTTGACCTGTTGCGAGACAAAGGAAAAATGACCCAGTGGCTGTCCTTCATTCTTTTTTTCCCCAAAAGCTCAATACTCCATTCATGTTCACCCCAGGACAGCCAGTGAGCTAGAGGTGACTCAAAGAAGGAAGACTCCCCGGCATCCCAGGGGAAGGCCTGCACCAAGGCCAGCTCCCTAAACAGGCAGGACACCCCCTCTACAGGGACAACCACACACCCCCAGTTCCTGTGTGGAAATATGGGATCCAGGACAGTCAGCGAGCCGCTTTGTTTTGGAGGCAATGGCCTTCTACAGGGATTGTTCTGAGTGTAGCACGGGGCCTGCAGAAAGGGGAACTTCCCCAAGTCTGTGCTCAAACCCTCGTGTGGGGGGTTCAAGCACAGATTTGCTTGAATGCCTGCTGGAGGTGGAGATTTCGGAAGCCACAGCAGCCTGTCCCGGACCTGGCTCTCCCTTTTCCCCCTTGGGTCCGTCTCGCCCATCTCTGCCTGGGGTGCCGTTGGTGACGGGGACGCCGCAGGTGATCACGGAGCAGGTCTTCTGGGCATCCTCACAGGCTTTTGTTTCTGAGCAGGAAGCTGTCACCACAGACAGGAGAAGGACGGGGAGTGATGGAAACAGGAACATGGTCCTTACCTTGGGATGGAGAAAGTGAAGGAGGGAATTTCATCCCATTGTGTTTAAATAGCATTTGCTACTCACTGTGGTGTGCTGGACACAGTGCCGGGGACAGTGGACACAGAGGGGACCCTCACAACCCCTGGCTCTGAGTGACTTTCAGACTACCAGGCAGGTAAAAAATGTGAGTTAGATCAGTGCTAAAACAGAGGCAAGCGCAAGATGAACACAAGCCCGTTCTCCCTCGGGCCCCAGAGCTCCTGCTAGCACAAGCCTTAGCAGTTAAGCACCTCCTACTTGACAGCCCACAGGGCCCGAGGATTTTCCATGAGCCCTGTGTCCAGCAGCCCAGACAAAGGTGAAGCGAGCTCATTGCCCGGGTGAGCTTTGGCCCCTGGATTTCTCAGATTTCTCTCTGAAGTGCCAAAGGAGCCATGGTTTCCCTCCTCTTCCTTTCCTGTGGGCTGCAGGGCTGGACTCAGACTGGGGCAGGTGACCTGAGGTCCCACAAGGTCCATCTCTTGGCTGGACTTGGTTGAGATGGATCCAGTGGTTGAGTTCCATTCTCTCATTTCCAGTATGAGAGCCCCCTATGCTGCCCAGGCTGGCCTCGAACATGCAGCCTCACCTCCTCAAGCACCAGCACGACTGGCCGGAGCCACTACGGCTCCCCTTCCTCTCACTTCCTCTAAAACTCCCTGTTTGACATGCTGGGTCCCGGCTGTCCTCAGAGTGGCCCCTGTTTCTCCAGCCACCTGTAGACCGTCTTGCATAATGTCTATTTTGTGACAGCCAAATGGCTGTGGGATTGGGACCGAGAGTGCTCTAAGGCAGGATTCTAACCCTCAGAATAGGACCTTTTTTGGTGATTGATCCTGTCCAGATGAGACAGCTCTTGGTTTGAGATCTTCCACCGAGAGGCCATTTCTGCTAGGCATCACCCGGGCTCTGAAATTTCTGCTCAGCCTGAGTCTGGAGGGATTCAGCTCCTGCTCTCCCTCCTAGAGTCTGCCCAGATAGCCCCAGTTCTGTGCCCCTACCCAGCTGTCAGAGTCCCCTCCAGCCTTTGTCCAGGCTGGCCCCTCCTCCAGGATCTTGGCAGCCGGGACCCCATGGGACTCTCCCTCTGCTCTGCTGCAGCCTCAAATCCCAGTGTCCTGGTTCTTGCTGCCCAACCCTTGCATCTGCCCTTGCTGTCCCGACCTCTGTCCCTCAACCCTTCCCTTCCTCCAGGACGCATTGAGAGGTACCCAGTTGGAAGGGAACTTTCTTGATCACGTCCTTCTCCAACTTGCCTCTTTCTATCATTTTTGTCTCTTTTTTGAACCTCCCCTGATGGCACTGAATTGGCTCTGGATGACACAGTCAGGGCTTGTACCCATAGCTGGCACACACATGCCACTTCTATTCTTCACTTTGGCAAAGACCACCCTTTAGTTTGCTGATGGCCAAGTGGATAAAGAAATCTCCCAGTTGCTTGGGAGAAAGAGAGGCCCCAGGTGGACCTGATGACTCCTCTAAACCCCTACCTGGACTTCACCAGGATCCAGTCAAGAGGCCAGTCTCTTGACCCAGGCCCTTACCTCTTTCTTCCACAAATAACTTACTAGGGCTTCCTTGGAGACAAGTCAGTGGCAGGGAAGCTGACCCTCCAGCCCAGGCCTCTGGCAGGTGCCTCAGCGGTGTCCAGTCCAGTTATCAGTGTGGTGACCAGGGACAGCGCTGGACTGGCCTTCAACCCCAGATTAATAATCAACCATCCCTAGAACTGCTGTGTGCCGGGAAGCTCTCCGGGCTGCTGGTGAGGCTTCCAGCGCAGCACTAGGCAGCTCTTTACATTAGTGCCCTAACCTCTCCTCTACTACCCGTTCTCAGGCATCCATCTCTATGACTCAGTGCCTCTGAGCTTCTAGAGTCACAGGTTCCCAGGGTAGTTTTTTTCGGATATTTATTTTCAGAAGAAAAATGCATAGATCTTCCACCAGACAAATGTATGCACACACACATGTGTACACATCTTTGTATCAGTTGATTGGATTACTTCCATTTGTGTTTTGTTCATTGCAGGGCTGGGGTGGAGAGACTCAAGACCCCTGGCACTGAGTTACCTCTTTCCTCTCTTCTCATTTAGAATGTTTGTCAAATGTTTCCTTTGGGTATCTCACAGGGCCAGGCGCAAGGTGAAGGGGTATTTGCAGCTGACTTCTATCCAAAGCCAAATGTGGGTGCTGGCACCTTATTTGGTTGCATATTGATTGACACCAACCACCCCGCATCCCTGTAGAACAAGAAGCTCATGAGAACAGGGGTCTTGTTCCCCAGATATTGTTTCTCTACTGGGAAGAGTGCCTGGAAAAGATTCAACGCTCAATAAACATTTGTGGAACAAATGAACCCTCCAGCAGCATGTCCTCAGATTAGCCCTCTTCTCTCTGGCTGGAGCTACCATCTGTGTCCCCTTTACCAGTGATCTTGCTTTTCTAGGGCAGAAGCTGTACTCAGTTCACATCTCTGTCCCCAGGGTGCAACCCAGGGCTGGGCACACAGGCGGATTGGGTGTGAGGGTGAGGAGAGAGGCAGAGACCTCAGGAAGACACCAGATCATCTGCACTCATCCAAGCCTGAGTTTCCAAAAGTGTCCAGTTCTTGTCGCCAGAGCCTGGTCAAGCCGTTCAGGTCCCGGATGTGACCTTTGATGCTTGCCTTCCTCCAAATCCACACCCATTCTTTGAAACACTTCATGTCACCAAACAACTTGAGAGGTTTGTTTTTCCTAGTTGGGGAGTGGGGTGGGTCACTTCTCTGTAACTGCCTTGTGATGGGCGTTTGACTCTCAAGGGTCCTCACCCTTGTGTACAGTGTCATCAGACCCTGTCCAGAGGCCCTCCTGGTTCCCATTCAGGAGGCCTTCCAGGCACCAAGAGGGCCTCCATGGTAAAGAAGATCCTTCTCAGGGCGGTGTCTCCGGATGCCACTGACACAATGTTGAAGAGCCCATAGGCTCAGAGGACAAAGGACTTTCAGTTCACACAGCAAATAGGCAGACCTCCCAGGAAGGTGGGAATGTGAATCTGACAGATTTGCATTGAACCAGGATCCTAACTGTGCCGCAGACTTAAGAGAAAGAGTGGTTTGAGCAGGAAGACGGTAGGTGAGAGGCAAATACACCTGCAAGCAAAGGAACCCGAGAAAGCCTGGATTCTGGCGGGGATGAGGTTCTCCCCCGAGGGTGTGTACCCAGAGGTCTGTCCTCTCATAGACTTGGGGTGAACTTATGTTGCCATTATGACCAGAATTTTGCTATTTAGGCCAAGATGAACAATAGTGTTTCCAGGCTCTCAGCGCGGCATGATCTCCTGCACTGTGGAGACGTAAATGCGGTGGAGGACGACACCTGTAGATCAGGCACCTCAGTGGTGTCTCAGACAGAGGCCAGGCAGATTGGAGTTCACCACGGGACAATTACCAAACACTGTAGGGGACAAGCAGAGTGACAGCTGACAGAAATGACAAGCCTCAGAAATAGTATGCACTTCAAAAGAGGGTACAATAAACAACAGAAAAACACTGCATGTTCTCACTCATTAGGCGGGTGATGAACAATGAGAATGCATGGACACAGGGAGGGGAGCATCACACACTGGGGTCTGTTGGGGGTGGCCAAGGGAGGGACAGCGGGGGGGCGGGGATGGGGAGGTCGGGGGGGCGAGGATGGGGAGGTCGGGGAGGGATAACATGGGGAGAAGTGCCAGATGTAGGTGACGGGGGATGGAGGCAGCAAACCACATTGCCATGTGTGTACCTATGCAACAATCCTGCATGAGCTGTACATGCACCCCAGAACCTAAAGTACAATTAAAAATAAATAAATAAAGGAATAAATGAACATTATATAATTAAATTAATAAACTAGAATTAAAAAATAAATATAGAGCTAATAAAATAGAATACTGGTTCTTTGTATGAGACATAAACTTAGCAAATATGGTGGTGGTAGTTTGGGTTGTTTCTTCCTTGCTGTAAAATTACACCTCAGGCCCTTTGCCACAGGACTTTGCAAAGGGTCCCACTAGAGTGTAAGGTGTAAACAAACACTTTAGCCCTTTTGCTGTTTGATGTGGCCATGTGACCATGAGCTGAAAGGATCTGTAGCTTTACATGTGCTTACAGGTTTGATATGGCCTTTGTATTACTTTCCCAATCATGGGAATTATATATCCCTGGAAAGTGATATGGAACAGACACGAACTCATCTGAAAGTCTGGAGTCCAGCTGACTGCTGCTGAGTAGTCCAGCCCGCTCAGCTGAAGTCAGCCAAAGCTCAACAAACTGGAAGACTCACAGCAGGAAATAAAATGTTTGCTGTTGTAAGCTCTTGAGAAAGAAATTTACTGTTGTGTAGCTGACTGATACAGTATCAATGATTCATAGAAAAGGTATAAGAAATTAACAAATTACGAAGAAAAAGGGATTATTGTACTAATATAGATAATATTGACATTATAAAATTATATCATGTATAGTAGATTTTGCAGCAATACTGCTACAAAATTAGTTACACAGTTAAAATTGTGTATTTTAACTAATACTAGTTAAAATTTTAACTAATACTAGTTAGAATACACAATATTCTAAGAAAGTTTAGAATTACTTACATGGGCCCATAAAGTGTTAGAATAATGAATATATTATTTTATCACATAAAATACTAAAATGGAAGTCAAAAATTATTGACCATGTATCCATCAACAACATGGTTTTTAGATGAGTTGTATTAAATCTTCAGAGAAGAGATAATTTCTCTGTTATAGAAATTGTTTGTATCCAAAAGTTCTTGGCTAAAATGATTAGCTGAATATATAACTCAGGATGCATAAGGACAGAAAAAAAAAGAAAGATACTCTCAGCCAATCTAATCTGTGAGTACAGGTGCAAAATTTTTACACAATGTAAAAAAAGTAGCTCTTAAGTCCAGCAATGTATTCATGGTTAATAGCAGTCTTTGGAATCTGATTTCCTATGTTCATATTAGCTGCATAATATTTGACAAATCACTTTGACCTCTATATGCCTTCATATTCTCATATTTGTAAATTTGAAAGAATGATAGCATCTATAAATAAGATTAATGAGGATTACATGAGTTAATAGTAGTGCCCGGTCCATAGTCTGTGTAATGAGTGTATTGAGCATCAGACCAAGTAGAGTATAACAGAAGAATGCAAGGATGGTTCAACATCAAACAATAAATCAATGTAAATCACTAATTTAATATAGAGCAGGTTTTATTAAGAGCATAAATTCAGTCTCTTAGATTTTGGAGCTTGAAGCTCACTTGTTCTCAAAACTGATATGCAGTCTCAAAACTCTTTAGTCATTGATGGGCATTTGGGTTGATTCCATGTACTTGCTATTGTAAGTAGTGCTGCAACAAACATTCACATTCATGTGTCTGTATGGTAGAATGATTTATATTCCTTTGGGTATATACCCAGTAATGAGATTGCTGGGTCAAATGGTAGTTCTGTTTTTAACTCTTTAAAGAACTGCCACACTATTTTTCACAATTGAACTAATTTACACTCTATCCAACAGTGTATAAGTATTCCCTTTTCTCTGCAACCTCATCAGCAACTCTTATTTAAAAAATTTTTAATAATAGGTATTCTGACTGGTATGAGATGTTTTTTCATTGTGGTTTTGGTCTGTATTTTTTAAATAATAAGTGATGCTGAGTTTTTTTTCATATATTCATTGGCTGCACATGTGTCTTCTTTTGGAAAGTGTCTGTTCAAGTTCTTTGCTCAGTTTTTAATATTTTTTTCTTGTAAACTTGCTTAAGTTTTTATAGATGCTGGATATTAGATTTTTGTCACATGTATAGCTTGCAAATATTTTTTCCCATTCTGTATGTTGTTTGTCTACTCTGTTGGTCGTTTCTTTTGCTGTGCAGAAGCTCTTAAGTTTAATTTGATCCTATTTGTCAATTTTTGCTTTCATTGCGATTGCTTTTGGTGTGTTTGTTATGAAAACCTTTGCCTGTTCCTATGTCCAGAATGGTATTGCCTAGGTTGTCTTCCATGGTTTTCATAGTTTGGGGTTTTACATTTAAGACTTTAATCCATCTTGAGTTGATTTTTGTATATGGTATTTAAAAAAAGGGGTCCAGTTTCAATCTTCTGCATATGGCTGGCCAGTTATTCCAGTACAATTTATTGAATAGGAAGTCCTTTACCCAGTGCTTGTTTTTTTTCAGCTTTTTTGAGAATCAGATGGTTGCAGTAGTACAGCCTTATTTCTGGGCTCTCTATTCCATTCCCTTGGTCTATGCGTCTGTTTTTGTACTAGTACCATGCTGTTTTGGTTACCGCAGCCTTGTGGTATAGTTTGACGTTTGGATAATGTGATGCCTCCAGCTTCGTTCTCTTTTTTGGTTCCATATGAATTTTAAAATAGTGTTTGACAGAATGTCATTGGTAGTTTGATATGAATAGCATTGAATCTGTAAAATGCTTTGGGCAGTATGGCTATTTCAATGGTATTGATTCCTTGTACCCAGGAGCATGGGATTTTTAAAAATTTGTTTGTGTCATCTGTGATTTCTTTGAGCAGAGTTTTGTCATTCTCATTGTAGAGATGTTTTCACTTCCCCAATTAACTGTATTGTTAGGTATTTTTTTTGTGTGTGTGGCAATTGTGAATAGGATTG